GCGGGCACCACGTACCTCATCACCACGCTGACAAGGAGGGCGGCGATGATGGGCCCTACCCAGTAAACCCAGTGATAGTCCCAGTAGTTTGCTACCACAGCTGGCCCGAAGGCTCTGGCAGGATTCGTGCAGGTTCCGGACACGCCGCCTCTGAAAGAGGAACAAACCGGCTGCGTCAGCCCTGCGGGATGCGAGACCAGCACCCGCGCCCCTCGCTGCCGGGACAGGGCGATCCACGGGCTGGGAGGGGGTGCTGGGTGGGAAGGCAGTGGCGTACCCCTCCCGGGGCTCCTTACTGGGGGTCCGGCCCTGCTCTGCGCAGGTGGTGGGCTCGGACCACCCCATCCAGGCACGGCTGCTCGGGGCCCAGGGCCACTTTGCTCCCGCAGCGTAAGGAAGGCCAGACCCGAGCGGCTGCTCACCTGCCTTTGCTCACGAGCATTTGCAAGCTAATCGGGGAAAACCCGGTGTGCGGGGTGGGAGCACGAGCGCCGAGTCTATTTTGGGGCTTACCGGGAGCCGGGCTTTTCCGCAGGGAAAGCTCCGTGCCACGCGTAGGTAGTGGAGCGGGGCAGGGGAGACAATAGTGTTTACAGATTAAAGAAAACTGCAACAGATAAATATTTGCACACGCGGTTGGTGCAGTGTTTAAACAAGAGCTCCGAAACCCGCTAGAGGGGGCACTGCCTTAACTAAACAACCCATTAACATTCATAATTGCGTGCGCTCGTTATCTGATTGCGATGGCACAAGACCCAGGCTGCTCGCCCGAAACGCCGGCCTGCGCCGAGGCCGAGCTTGGCAGCGTTTCCAGCAGCTACGAGGGCAGGCGGCGAGGAACGGCTCCAGATAAACCCTCTCCTGTTTGCTCAGGGCTTCCTACGACAAACACCGCCCGTGCGGCCCTTCGGCGTTATCAGCCCGTAACGGGCCCTTGTAAAGGCCGCTCCGGCTCAAGTGCCACGCGCTGGGCTCGAGCCACCGGCTTCTCCCGCCCCTGGCTGGGCT